TTTGCACGACTTTTCAAACCAGTCATTCTTGTTTTGTTTGTAGTTTATTTTAAGTGTTTAATTTGATTGGTGAGTGGGCAATATTGTTATTTGAGTTATCTGTAAATCTCTCATAATTAAGAATTTAATTTTTTATTCCTGTTGCTTTGTTCTTTTCTGGATGCACCGTTAGAATTTGTCTAACGTGTGCCACAGTTATAAAAGTGTTATCCAATAAATATTGTATTTTATTGTATTGCATGATATCATAATGACTATTTAATACAGTTTAGAAATCAAGTAATATTAATATGAATTATTGCGTATGAAGGCATAATCACATGTAGAACCTAAGTTCTTATTTAGTCCCTTAAATATTTATTTTAATAACTGGCGTTGTCTGCAATTAGTAACCAAACTTACATTGGGCACATACCAATTCACACAAGATACATAGCACTCGGGCTCAGCCTTAAGAACGGGGCCATTCTCAGTCAAAAATCTTCCAGATGTTGTCTGTTCAACGAACTGTACACACCCCCAACCACTACCACATTCGACTGGTTTCTATGGCGATGGGAATGCATTGGCTCCACTGCTTGACAATCAATCGCATTTTCATAAGATGTTGTCTATAGAAGTTTAGGATTTATAACGGTTTCTAAATAAAACAACAATTTAGAAATATATATACTGTATTATTCTTAAAAATTGTCTTCTGTATAAATGATGGTGATGACTCAAACTCAACTTAAACAACATCTGTCCACCGAATGAACAGTTGGGTTGTAGTAGCATTGCGCATGTGTAATGGTCCTTTCCAGAGAGCCAAACTTAACAACTGACCAATCAGAAAACTGCCAGGAATATGCGCGTGTCCAACAAATACACGTGCTGTCCCACATGTTGCGCATGCATTTTGAAAAATTTAGAGGGACAGGAGGGGCAGGCCAGATGGGCCCCCTGTGAATCTTAGATTCTATGCACATGTTGACGTACACTTTCGCTATATTTTTGTGGGGACTAACAATCTTCAAGTGGTGGTGATGAAAGTTCTGTTAAGCTATGTTGCGCATGCATAGTGGAACTATCAGAATAATAAATTAGCTGGAGGAAATGCATGACAGAGTGCTCAACACAATCTCAAAGAATTTATATTCAAACTAATAATCTTTTATTTCATTTGTATTTCGAATATTCATTGAATACCATTGCAAAACAGTACATCACACTATGTTTTGTATGCTATCACCGATATGTTCATAAACATTTTAATTTTTAGCATTCTATAATCACTGCACGGTGACTACATACATTCAGTTTATTCTTTAATTAATGCATCATTCTTCTGCCTATTTTTATGTTTCTGTTTTGTTTTTTTTATTACATCCAAAATGCTAACAAAGGTGCTGCATCCTGAATCTTACAAATTAAATGGTGTTGCATCCAGGATTTTACTACAGGTGTTGCATCTAGAATGCTACCACTTGGTTTTTGCATTTAGGATCTTATCTGGCATTGGATCCTAGATTCTACAATTAGGGTCAGTGGTGGGTCCAGGAATTTGAAATAGAGGGGGCCCCATGGAGAGACTTCAAGATGTTTTTTAAACTGGTCCCGATGCTCCTGTAGGGAATTGTGTCGATAATTCAACATCTTACAGCAAGAAGTGATGGTTGCTTTAATACTTTGATTCTTTATTTTGGACTCGTTTGTGAAAGTAATATCTTCCATTGCTGCAGAAGAGAAATAAATGGACTACGCCAAAGGAAAACATCATGATACATAACCTTGTACTTTTAATAGAAGAGACAACACCTAGAGGTGTACAGGAATAAAGATAGCCACGTACGAAACGTAGCTGTTATAGTCAACAATAATACAGTATACTTAAGCGACAAGTTGTAAAAATCTGTATTGTATACTGATCCTCTATAGCTAAAGTTTAGTGTAAAATTCCCATTCAATTTTAAAGGGGGGTTGTACTGTAAGAGATTTCTCAAGGTATTGTAGATGGCAAAATATTTTGTATGTTCTCACATGATTTTTAGTGGCATTCTGAATGCGACAGACTTACTCAGAGAGAATCAGACTGAATAAAGTTTACCATAGCGATAATTATATGTTTTTTGTGGTATTATCTATTGTTTTCAGTCTAATTGTGGCGCTCTACTAACTCTAAACAGTTGATTGTGGAATCAATGACAGAGGGTCTAGACTACCTCAGCCCTACCATGGCTGTGGTTGATGTAAGAAAATTTATGATTATTGCACCTCTAGATGGACAGAAATGGCACTCTCAGACTCTAAATTTGAGTCAAATTTTCTTCTTTTTTTCTCCATTTTTTTTTTTTTTAACTTTGAAAAATTTAGAGGGGGAGGAGGGGCAGGCTAAATGGGCCCCCTTTGAATCCACCACTGGGGGTTACATCTAAAATACTACCAGTGGTATTGCATCCCAGGATATCAACACTATGGTTACATTCACAATGCTACTACAGTAAATGTGTTATATCCAGGACACCACACATGGGTTGCATCCAGACTCCACCAATGATGCTACCTAAAACCATAATTCAACCACTGGTGTTGCATCCGTGATCCTACCATTAGGGTAGGTTTGCATGCAGAGTACTACCAATAAGATTGCATCCAGAATACTACCAATAGTCTTTCACTCAGGATCCTACCAATGGTTCCATACCTAGAATGCTACAGATGGTTCTGCATCCAGGATCCTACAAATGGTTCTGCACTCAGAATCCTACAAATGTTTTTGCACCCTAGATGCTACCAATGTTTGATTCCTGTAGCGTTACTTCCAGAAACCTTCCAATGGTGCAGTGTCAATCACAATATTAATACGGCACCTCTGGCATCCATTTGCATTATATGAATTTTGATTCTTTTGAGATCCTGCAGTATCAGGTTTCAGCAATAACTGGTTTTCTGTATTTGCATTGTAGCCATACTCGATACATTGTTAGTTGACGCCCTCTATTGACTTGCAATCTCTTGTCAGTGAGATTTTGCTCTTCAACTAGACCAGCTTTAGTAAAAAGTTCTCGCAGGTTATCTGATAAAAAAAAGATGACAAACACTTCATTTTGGTCAGGATTTCATAATAAATGACACATATATACATAATAATGTATTTATACACACAAAATGTAATAGGCGGAAAACACAACAAACAACACAGTGGTGGATTCCAGGCAGGTAGAGCTGACCCGGGCCCCCTTCCCATGAATTTTTCGAAATTATTAAAAAATTGAGAAAAAAGGAAAATATTAATCAAATTTAGGTCTGAGAGTGCCATTTCTGCTCATTTAGAGGTGCCATAATCATAAATTTGTTTACATCAGCCCCAACCATGGTGGGGCAAAAGGTCGTATAGACTCTCCACCTGTAAAAAAGTCCCTCCCTGGGCCCCTCTATTTTGAATTCCTCTGGATGCGCCGCTGCAACAAACCAGATAATTCAATGATTAAATATTAGTAATTATATAACAGAAAAGGGTTTTGGCCAACAATAATCCTCTACATATAATAAACAAGATAAACTAATAGAGAAACAAATGTTATGATCGCATTATAAATATCCCTTTAATGAAAAGTTCCTTATCAGCAATGGTAATGCCAGAGATTTTCCGACTAGGGGTCCAACCTATTTCAACCCACCACATTTGTGACAGAGATGAGCAGTTTAAAAGTAAGTACATGTAACTGATTGGAAATGGCACTATCAGAATGTAAAAATACTTTTTCAAAGCAGTCTTCCCCTAATAAAATGATTGGATCCTTCCCCAATGGAGGTCAAGGGTTTCCTTGACCCATCACTGGTGCTGCTACTGCTTATCACTAAATGTAAAAAAATAAATAAATGAAAGAAAGAGTGCTGAATTATAGGCACAAGTGATGTGATCGTATTAAGCACAGCAATTCCAATGGAAAGTTCCTTATCAGTTGTCTGAAAAAAATACTTCCAGTGGGAATTTAAACTCCAAACTCTCACTGTCAAAGAGAGTGTCACAGAAGCCTGTGGGACAAATTCAATCTAGCCAGATCACTCCCTCACACAACTGATTTATGCCCTCACAATGGAGCTGTGTTAGCCTAGAGAGAACTCTTGAAAGTCAAAATGAGCAACATTCAGCATATTAAATAAAAAAATAAAATTACAGTGTACTAATAAAAATGTATTTTAATATCAGTGCCCAAGCAGCACAATGCAATACCCATAAAAGAAACCATAAAACAAACAGATATGTACCTTGAGTAAAAAAATAAACTCTGGTTCCATCGCCACGTACATAGAAGTTCTCAGACAGACATCGTCCTACAAAAAAACAAATTATACTGCAAGTTGAAAAACATATATAAATATTAATGATAATATTTCATTATTACTAAGGTAATAGAAACATGGGATACTTTAGCTTGAATATTTCATCTTACCTTTTTTAAAACGTAGTTGAGCCATATCATATCTGCCATAATCTCTTAACAATATCCGTCCACCAGGCTTCAAATGTCTTGCCAATCTATTGATGGTAGCCTGCATTCTGCAATGAAAAATGACAAACAATTATTGAAATAACAAAAAAAAATTATTATATTAACAGAAAATTATAGCAATAATAATAGCAATAAAAAAATTGTTGGAAAATCACCATTGAGAGACTGTATATACAGTCAGTACATTAGATATATCGGTCATGTTTGCAGAGGGCCAAGTACATCTCTTAGCAAAATTGATGTTATTTGCTGCTCCAACCAGGCGCTACTACCGTGACCCCTGGCTAAAGATATCTCGTATAATATTAAGCATAGAAGTTAGGCAAGCCAAAGCCATTACACAATCAAAAGAAAAACTCAACAAACACCTAAGTATGCTGTTTAATGCTGAATAGGTTTTCGGTTTAAGCTCTACGATGTAGAAGAGGAGGATCAAATAAGTAAATATTTATAAGTGATAAAAAAATAATATTAATCATCATCATCATATAAACGCTAATCGTATTTTGACATTAATATTAATATTAACAATAATTATAACAACAACAATAATAATAAATAATAATAAAATAATAACTTTATTTAATAAAGCGCAAGACAATATCCATTAAAAATGTTCACCGGCGCTGTACAGAATTTTAAAATATACATAGGCCTACATACACTTTAAACATATACATACATAAGAAATATACATTAAAAGCAAATAGAAATGTTTGAAACCAATAATCATCACAAAAAAAAAAAAAAATATGAACATTAATAATATTTATTGGAAAAGCTAGATTTACACTCATAACTCTTTTCAAAAGTTCTGAATATGTCAGAGAAATGTATCCACAAGGTAATTCATCAAGTCCAGTACCCAATAATACACATTTAATAGTAAAAATGCTATTTTGAGTGTCCTACCCTACAACACCAACAGATGTCACCTACATCGAGACCAGTATAAAAACTGAACCCTTGATCGTGGATTATTAGTAAAACACCATACTACATAAACCATGCAGTGTGACCAATGTTATAAATGAACCTGTGAATCTGGATTATAAGCAAAATACCATCCTACTTAAACCATATGCAGTTACCAATGTTATAACTGAACCTGTGAATCTGGATTATAAGCAAAACACCATCCTACTTAAACCATATGCAATGTGACCAATGTTACAACTGGGAATTGCAAGCACAAAGAAATAACCACTAAACCACAAGAGTGAAAACAGAAATTGAACACATGATCCTTGGATCATAAGTACTGTGCCTTACCACTAAACCACAAGCAATGAGGTCAACATAGGAATTGAACCCATGACTCAAGGTTAAGATGCTTGCCTTCCAATCACAAGGTCCATGGTTCAATCTCAGGAAAACAAATGTCAGGATTTATATCCCAACCAAAAACAACACTTTAAAAGCCATTTAGACTAAGGGTTATAGATCTTTGGGTGAAACATTTTCAATGTTGATCACTTGCTCCAACATGTAGGCTGGGGCAAAATAAGTTCCACTACTGGATGAAAAATACTAAGAATTACCATTAAGTTTTCATTGGAATTGGGATTTAGTCCTGCATCTCAATTTTCCCACCCCAAGACTGTTTTGCACCCCACCCCCAAGTCAAAATGGTGTTAACACGCTGACTGCCAGACCTTTTTTAAAGGTTCCTTCCCATGTGCCAAAACAAGTTTACATGTACAAACATACTTTTTTTGAAATTTAATCTAGTGATATATATTCAAAATGATGTGTCTAATAAATTGGCGAAGAAAATTTTAGGGGGTGTGTAAACTCGTCGACGGCACTGTAATAGCACTTTTTTCCAAGAGTGAGTTATCTCATCCGCTTTTTTCATGGGTTGGTATATGTTCAAAGGGCGCACCCAATTGTGCCGCTCGAGTGTACTACCAGCAACATTACACAACAAACATACTCATTTGTACATTTTGTCCAGGTGTGTCTTCCCCGAACTACCAGCCGTTGAGTCTGTGGTTCTACAATGTATAACAAAGAAGTTATGAACACTAGAATGTTACCCCGATTTTGACGAGTATACTCGTCCTTGGCGCACTCAGCAACACCCTATATAATAAGGAATATAATAAGGAATGCTTTCTACTGATACCTTTCTGGTTTGATAGCTGACAGGACAAAAATCATAATGATGATGTCAAGATTGTTCTCAGGAAAAGGTAGTGGGGTGTCAACATCAGTGATATCACAAACAAATGCATGGCACCTATCAGTGTTGTAATCTGCATGCGCCTAGAAAAAAATAATATGAAATATAAGCTACAAATTCCTATAATACACAGTCTTAAAGCCGGAAAATCAGCAGACAGCAGTGTGTTGTTTGACTTGACGGTTTAACACTTTTTCATTAAAGGAATTTCAGAATTCAGTAGAACCCCTATTAAAGGGACACTAACCATAAATGTGAAATTGTCCCCTTAATAAGGGTTTTTAGCATGTTTTCATACAACGATGACATAGGCCTACATTCACAAGAATCAGTTACTGTACAGTAGAATTGGAACTAATTTATAGAAATAATTTTCAATGTTCATGACAAGATTTATTTTTTTTTTAAATATTGAGCTTCCTCTTGGATGAATGTACTGTAGCATGAATATATAAAGGACTTAGAATTAAGGATGCGTTGGTATTAGAATCCTATATGAAAGTACAAAAAACAAAGAAAAAGAAATCCCCATGGTTAAAGGTAGTTTCACACCGAATCCGAATTCAGTTCGGCGAACGTTTTCGATTTGATGTGAATCTACCTTAAGGGTCAAAAGTGACAAGATTGGTTTATACAAAGTAACACAAACAGTAGGCCTTTACTGATGTTTGCTCAAAGGATTAGGGGAGAACATTCTGGTTTAATGCTCAAAAGGTGTCAAAATATAAAGTTGAATGAATTTTTCTTATTTTGAGACTGCTGTAGTTATTAAATTAAGTGTCTCATTAATAGGAATTATTTGACCACTTGGCACACTCAAAAAGTGTCCTCATCCCCATAATAGTTGTGTCACCTTAATAGGGGTTGGCCGTAATGTCAAAGAAATATTCCCCCTCATAACCACTTCACGGAAAAGTGTCTCCCTTCCTTAGGGGTGTCCCAAAGGAGGGGTTCTACTGTACTTACAATAGTTTCCTTATAAAACATTAGCAATCATGCAGCATGTTACATCTTATTCTTACCTTTACAAAATCAACAGCTATTTCAGAAAAGTCACAACAATAGAGAAACAGCCCATCATCACTGTAATATAAACAAATGATTCTCACTATTCCACAACAAGCAAGTACGAAACAAATGAATACAAATATATGACAATTAGAAAAGCCAATAAATAACCTAAGTTGCCAAGGTGCAGTGCAAGTTTACACACCTATTTTACTTGACTGAATAGACCTTTCGGCTAAGCCCAGTCCTTTGGATATTGTTGCTAAGGTCCCACAAAACATACGCAAACACATGTGTTTGTGGGACAAACACATATGCTTGTTACGCACGCATATTCCGGGTTCTGATTTGTCAGTTGTTAAGTTTCATTGGCACTCCGAAAAGGATTATTTCTCTATGTGGTGTATTTTATGGGGCTTGCCATGCCAAAACCAGCATCAGTGACAAAAACATACAAAGAAGTCTTTTTAATACACTATATTCATACTATACTCTCCACATTATAAGCTTTAAAATGATAGGTCGTTTACTGGAATTGATTATACTATTGCCAAAGTTATGAGTAAAAGTATTACGACTTTGCTGTACTAAAGTAAACAATACTACCACATTCCTATTCCAATTACACCCAGTTTAACAGTTAGTGCCAGTATGCTGGTTTTGGGAACACAACCGTCATATTCCTACATTTCATACTCAATGGGTCAAAATATCTTCTGGATGGTGTTTGTAGGATGTGTAAAATTTGTTCTTACTTATTCGTTTGAAGGATTGGAAACACAGTGTTTCCAACACCACAGCCAACTTCAAGCATCCTAGTCCCTTTTACATGCCTTGAATCTCTATCACTTTTTGGTTCACACGTTGTTTGTACATCACCAAGTTGGCTTTTTGTTGCTGGTTCATTTTCTTCATTTATGGGCGCTGGTGGTTCATCTATGGGTTGTTTTACTCTAGTTGTTTCATCCTCTTTTGGTGCCAATTCAGGAAATTCTGTAAACAACCAATGGCGATCCTTGAAGAACCGATTTTGATGTTGTGAGTAGAACTTGTCCCAGAACTTTCCTGCTTCTCGTTCGTAGATTTCTAGTAATAAAAATAATAATGTTAAAATATAGTTGTATATACCATGAAATGAAAATGAGGCATGTTGTGGCGAAATGGTAAAGTTGTCGCACAGTCTAGTATTGAGTAAATGAGCTATAAAATATGGAAGCTCAAAAAATTGATAAAAAATCCAAATTTGTTTTTCACTGCAGGTCAACAGTTTAATGTCTTATTAATCATGTCCCAAAGTATTAATTGTGGAAGTGGTTAACAAATTGTTTATTTAACGTTATTTTTCATTGTTCATTCTATTAAACAATGTATGCACAAATAACTTTGAAAGGCAATTACTCAAAATCTTGTTTATCTTGACTCTAAGAGTACTGTACTTTCATTTTCCAATAACTTAGGTTTAAAATGTCCAATATGAATGAATGACCTCTCATTTTAAAGATCACATACTCAGGTATTTGAAAATACCAATAACTTGAATTTCAATTTTTGCTACAACTTAGCCATTTTGCCACAACATGCCTCAAATATCTGAGAACCTGCAACTACCACTGGGGTACTTCAAGAGGACTAGGCATTTCGCTCTATGTAGCTACCAGTGTTTACTGTGCTCTGTGACTGGTGCACGACCTTGTAAAGGCCTAGGCTAGTCTTCGAAAACAAAATGCCAAAAAAAAAAAAAAAGACATGTCTGGAAAAAATGAAATTTGTTCAGGCAAGGCTGCTGGATGACTCCCAGTGAAAAGTTGCGAGACATTGGTGGCGCTGTTTAAAAATAGACCGGATAAAATTGTGTATAGAACTTCAGAATTGAAGAAATCTTAAAAACCATAATTGGTTATATTATTTTCTATCATTGTTCAAATAAATTGTTTGACTTTTATTTAATAATCAATAATTTACATTAAAAAAAATCAGTTGGCCTACCCAAAAAGTCAGAGAGAAATGAAGCAAATGATGACAGTTAGGAAAAAGGGAAGGTACAGGAACCAGGTAAGTTGAGGTGATTCATTGCATTTGTATACAGTACATGCCCATTTGACTTAAACCACTTTCAGACAGAGCTACAGTATGTTACTGCAATATTGCGGAAATATTCCTGGCATTACCTTCTGTATGAAAAGGTAACTAACTGTTACCACTATATTGGTGTTATGCTGCGTTCCATCTCAGACCTAGTAATACACTACTGCATATTGCTGTTACAGTACATTCCTGCGTGTGTCTGAAACGGAAGCAGGTGATATTACTGCAATATTACCAGGCCCATCTGTCTGAAAGTGGCTTTAGAATAGCATGTGTCTTTGTAAAATTTTCTCTCACATGAATCAAGTACCAAAGTGGTAACATGTTAATTAAAATAAAACAACATATCTTACCTTGCTTATCCTCCGCTACATACTCATTTGAATTTTGCTTCACTTTCTCTTCAGCTAATTTGATTTGCTTTTCATCCCAGTCAACATTATCCCTATGGAGCAAGAACAACAGTTGAACAGGCTGGTGAAAAGTACTGTATCATTTCAGTCGAGAAGAAGACTTTTTTTTCTACTCTTGGTTGAGAGTTCTAAAGAGAGTAGCTTCACCTACCTTCCTTTGCTCCGTGAACTCGATAATTACGAAAAAAAGCTGCTGTTTTCTATCGGCACTGCCACAGTGCGAAAAAGCTGCTGTTTTCTATGGGCGCTGACGCAGTGCGAAAAAGCTGCTGTTTTCTATCAGCACTGCCACAGTGCGAAAAAAGCTGTTATTTTCTATCGGCATTATTGCCGTAGTGCGAAAAAAGCTCCGATTTTCTATTGGCACTGCCGCAGTGCCAAAACACTGCAGTTTTCTATCGGCACAGGCACTCGAAAAGCTGCTGTTTAATTAATCAAATGGATGTTTTTAGTCAATTATGGCATCAATAATTGGTTAGGTCTAGCCTAGCCTATAAGTATTAATGTTAACATTATATTATATAATTATATTATACAATTAATTATAAGTATTTCTAATTATTAAATATATACATATGTCTAGGTCCATACATAAAACAAACAATAAAACAACAAAAAATATGATTAAAATAGTAATTAATAATAATAATAATATAATAATGATAACAGTGCTTGAATAATACTATAATAATGAATAATAATACTTTAATTGACCTTTTTACAATAGTTTGATTAATGAGATGAATCAGCATATATTAAATCAACTTGCGTCTCTGCAAAACCTGTTTTTTTTAAAATAAGGATGTTATCTATTTTATTCTGTTTTAAAAAATAATCTTATAAATTTTAAGTTTATTTTCTATGATAATTTTATTCACATAATTCATGTTTTCAATGTTAATATGGTTGATAAATAATATAAAATAATAATAATAATAATCATAATCATAATGAAGGTGCTTGAATAATGCTTTATAAAGAATTAATAATACTTCAATAATACTTCAAACAATAGGCCTATTTACGACAGTGTGATTAATGAGATATCTATTGATATTTATAGAAATATGTAATAGGTATATACCATTAATAATGATTCAGCATATTAAATCAACTTACGTCTATAGATGTAAAATCTGATATTTTTTAAAAAATAAAATGATGCCTATTTTATTTTGTTTAAAAAAATAATCTTATAAATTATAAGTTTCTTTGTAAATTCTATAAGATTTTAATCCAGATAATTTATGTTTTCAATTATTTATTCATTTAAACAATTCAGTTTGTCTAACGCTGGATGAAAATGTAAAACAAAACAAAAGCAAAAAACAAAAACAAAAGCATCGCCAAAGTGTTTTTGTGTATGCAAATGCTAATACCATTCGTGATTACCACATTTTTTCATACGAGGCGACGAATATCCGTCGAAATGCTGTATAACTGCAATTATATCTCATTAATCACACTTTCGTAAATAGGCCTATTGAAGTATTATTGAAGAATTATTTATTATTATTATTATTATTATTAATTATTTATTATTATTATTTTATATATTATTTATCAACCATATTAACATTGAAAACATGAATTAGCCTATGTGGATAAAATTATCACAGAAAATAAACTTATAATTTATAAGATTATCAAATAGATAACATTTTTATTTAAAAGTAGGTTTTGCATGGACATAATTTTATTTAATATGCTGATTATTATTATCTCATTAATCAAACTATCGTAAAATTATTATTGTTATTATTATTATTGTTTGTTATTTGGGACATGGGACCAACGGCTTAAACGTCTCATCCGAAAGACGGTGCGCTATTGTAACTTGTATTTCAGCCCTCTACTAGCTAATTGAAACACAAAGAGAGACAGCGATGAGAATTGAACCGGGACCTAGTAGGCCTAGAGATCTCCACGGTTCAGCGCACACACGGTATTTAGTGTTTAGGCCTAGGTGGAATACTAAAGTGGTAAAGTTATATGGGCTAGGGCCTAGGCGTGTCTCTATGTAGGCCTAGTCTAGACTACTAATACTAGCTAGATTCTAAAAGGCCTAGGCTAGTCTACAGTAAGCCCACAGACAGGCCGCCACGCAGGCGAAGGCCCTGCCTTGCACTAGGCTCCTAGTAGCCTAAACCTAGCATAGGCTAGGTCGTAGCCTACGACGACGTACCACTTCACTTACCACGCGTTATGTTGAAAAACCTTGTTCGGATCTGTAAGAAATCGATTTCCAAATTGCGGACGTTTGTCGTTGACTTCTTCAGACAATTGTTTATTAGCCATCATACGGATAATATTTAATGAATACCCGTCATTTTTTGTACGCTTCGCGTAAGAAACAAACGCATTGAACATTCGAGCGGATGCCATGCCATGTCGATTGTCGAGCGGATGAATGAAGGTCGAGCGGAAAAACATATGCTCCTGACCACACCGCTTTGCGGCGCTGTCGTGGCAGAAGTGGTACGAAAAATTAATGAAAAATGAGTTTACTGATATATTTATAGAAGATTATACAAGCTTCATTGTGGTCTTTGAATCATGTTCTTAGGTTGAGTAAAACCAGAGTTAGATCAAACATACTTAAGAGAAAATCGCCTCTAAAGATAAACGACTGATAATTTCTTTTTTTATTTATCAATTTTAAAAATTAGCTTTACAAAATGTGCTTC